TCATTTCAACCATCTGCTATCAATCAGCCATAGAACCTAAATTCAATAGGGAATTCCTGAGCAGACCTTACCTGTCAGTGAAAGAGGATTAAAGATTCGTGACCTGTATTTTAAAACTACTTCAGACAACTCTCTAAATATAAATTATTTACATTTTTCCTGCTTGAGAAGTCAGTTCTTCCCTCACAGGACTTTTCATCAAAACTCTCATCTCTTTACAACATAAGGCAACATGTCCAGCATCTCATTCTCTGAATGAGGTATAGGTGCCTAAGTCCTCTTTATGTGACGTTTCTCAGCCACAGGACGTGGGTGTTGTTCCTCTCCATCAGAAGACCCTTGGACTAAAGAATCACATAGTGAACATGTGGCTGTGGACCAGAGTTAAAATGACTTTATAATGTGTAGCAGTCACTAATCACAGAAATTCCAGAATTCAAATGAGCACATGAGCCAGTTTCTTAATTAGGTCTGGTGCTGCTGCCTAGTTTTGTTTTGTCCTTTGTCATGAGGCTAAGACCTAGTAGTCTTAGCCTTTCTCCTTGCCTAAGAAAGGTTGGGAGTCCAAAGAAATTAAGAAGTGAAGGCAGGTTTTATATATATTATATGTATATGAGTATCTTGCCTGCAAATATGTATCTGTGTATTCCGTGTGTGTGTGTGTGTGTGTGTGTGTGTGTGTGTGTGTGTGGTACCTATACAAAGGCTAGAAAAGTGTGTCAGGTCCTCTGGGACTGTAGTCTTATTGTAACTTGATATGCCATGCTTAGTTGATATCTCTGGGAGGCCTGCCCTTTTCTGAAGGAAAGCAGAGGAGGAGTGGATCTTGGGGAAAAGGTGGGGGAGGGCACTGGGAGAAGAGGAGGGAGAGGAAACTGGTTTGGATATAATATATGAGAGAAGAATAAAACAGACAATAACAAAGTGGAAACAGAGCAACACACACAGACGTTTGCGATTTTATACTGTCTCTGAACCTTCTAAGGTCATGTTGGCAATCATTATAACAAAATGACTATCTTAACAGTTTGAGGGGTTTCTTTGAGTAGCTCAGGGTTCACTTCCTCTGCATTTACAGCTAAATGAACCCTAGAGAAGCTTAATAATTAAAAAAAAAAAAGAGGCCATGAATTTGAGAGGGAATGGAAAGACGGGGACATGGGAAGGATTTGTGTGAGAGGGTTAATTATGTAATTTTATTTTAATTAAAATATTAAAGAGAAAAAATTAATCTTGTATAAAGAGTCTTCAAGAACTACCCCTAGCAAATTCCTATGGAAATCTTTGGTCTGAAAGAAATCTATGAAGCATATTCTTAGACCCTTCAGATTCTTTTTGTTTGTTTGGTTTGGTTTTTTGAGAAGACAAGGTCTTCTGGCTGGCCTGGTACTCAGGTATAGATCAGACTGGCCCCAGACTCAGAAATCCACCTGCCTTTGTTGTGAATGCTGGGATTAAAGATGTATGCCGCTGTACTCCCACCTTCTTTCTTACCCCCTTTTTTTAAAAATTATTTATTTTTATTACATATAGTGTTCTGTTTGCATGTACACCTGTATGCCAGAAGGGGACACCAGACCTCATTATAGATGGTTGCTGGGAATTGAACTAAGGACCTCTGGAAGAGCAGCCAGTGCTCTTAACCTCTGAGCCATCTCTCCAGCCCAAGTCTTTTTTAGGAGATTTATTTATCTTATTATGAATACAGTGTTCTGACTGCATGTATGCCTGAAGGCCAGAAGAGGGCACCAGATCTCATTACAGATAGATGTGAGCTACCATGTGGTTGCTGGGAACTGAACTCAGGACTTGTGGAAGAGCAACCAGTGCTCTTAACCGCTGAGCCATCTCTCCAGCCCTCTTCAAAAAGGATTTTATCAGGGATGGAGAGATGGCTCAGCGGTTGAGAGCACTGACTGTTCTTCCAGAGGTCCTGAGTTCAATTCCCGGCAACCTCCTTGAATGAAATCTGGTGTCCTCTGCTGGCATGCAGGCAGAAGACTGTATACATAATGGGTAAATAAAATCTTTTTTTTTTAAAAAAAAGGATTTTATCTCTCATCTTACATTTTATTATAAGCAGCAAGAAGGTAGGTAGCACTTTGATGGCTTTAAAAGTCTTAGCTAGCCGGGCGTTGGTAGTACACCCCTTTAATCCCAGCACTCAGGAGGCAGAGGCAGGTGGATCTCTGTGAGTTTGAGGCCATCCTGGTCTCCAGAGCAAGTGCCAGGACAGGCTCCAAAGTTACACAGAGAAACCCTGTCTTGAAAAACAAACAAAAACAAAAGTGTCTTAGCGATTTCATTGAGCTCATCAAGTACATTTCCTGTTTTATGCTATGGGCAACAGTTATGTCAAACGTTCAGACCCTTCCTAGCACATGTGCCCATCCTTCATCTTCCAGTTGTCTTCACTTTCCAACTCTTAAAGGGACTGGGAATGTAGCTCAGTGGTAGAGCACTTGCTTAGTTGGATGAAGCACTGGATTTGATCCTCAGCACTAAAGAAAAAAATAATAGCTACCCTAAGGCTTGAGTTCTTACTGGTACTTTGCCAATAGTGCTTTCTGCCACCCAGTTCCAAAGCTAGTGTTGTGTGTTTGACATTTGTTCCTGAAGCATCTTGATCAGAATCTATTCTGGTAAGCTTTTGCTTTTGACAAGCTACTACAAAACTTTCTGGTTTGAAACCTTCGGGGACAACTGTGAAGACACTCATGTATTGCATACAGTGCCGGATGGGGAGTGAACCTGACTAGGCTTGGGGATCCACTTTTCCCACATGACTGGCATATTGATTCTACCGTTTCACCACATGAACCTCTCCACATGATGATTTGTTTTCTCACACATAATAAATAGTTGGTATTCAAGAGTAAATATACCAAGAAACCAGAAGTAGAAACTGCTGGTTTCTTAATCCTAGGGCCAGAAACTGGCATTGTATCATTCCTACTGCTGTCAAGTGTGACAGAGAACAGTAAGAGGCATGCCAAAGACTTGCAGAGCCATGTTCTCAAACTGACAGTCTTCTAAAGGTTGAATGGTTTGGTCTTTGGTGTTTCACCATATGACCATGAAAAATTAATTTTAAAATCACCATTAGAATAATCATATCAGACTCACATCCATGAAATATACAAAATCTTAGTTGCAAATATATTGTACACTCATATACAATTTGCTGAATTTCATTTTTTGGGTTTTTTTTTTTTAGACAGGATTTCTTTGCATAGCTTTGGCTGTCCTAAAGCTAACTCTGTAGACCAGGCTGGCCTCAAACTCACAGAGATCCACCTGCCTCTGTCTCCCGAGTGCTGGGATTAAAGGCGTGCACCACCACTGCTCAGCCAATTTGCTGAATTTTAGTAAATATCAGCATCTGTATAACTCCCCCATCCCCATGTGATCAAGACATAGGATACTTCTGATACTCCAGAAGCTCCAGCAGGCTCCTTGCAGTCAGTCTCTGTCTCCACTGTGATTGAAATACTTTTTTATCATAAATTAGATTTTGCAGATCTTGAATTTAATATAAATTAACCATGCTGTCTGTATGCATTCTTGTATTTGGTTTCTTTCACTCAAAAAAATTTTTTTGAAGCTGGGCAGTGTTGGTGCACGCCTTTAATCCCAGCACTCTAGAGGCAGAGGCAGGCAGATCTCTGTGAGTTCAAGACCAGCCAGGTCTACAAAGCAAGTTCCAGGACAGCTTCCAAAGCCACAGAGAAACCCTGTCTCAAAAAACAACAACAACAACAACAAAATGAAAGGCATTTATGTTGTACCTATCCATAAGTCAAGGTTTTCTTTTTGTCAAGTGGTATTCCATTAAATGAACATACCATAGTTTGCATGTTCATTCTCCTACTGATGGACACTTGAGATGGTTTTAATTTGAAATTGTTGTAAATACTGGTATGAACATTTGTGTTAAGTGTCTTGTTTCTGGGTTCCTCCATTTTTAGTGATTTCAGTACCAGGGCCACACTACCAAACATGAAAATCTTCCCTTTTTCTTTTTTTTTTTTTTTTAACCTTTTGCTTTTTATTATTGTTTTCTTAAATTTGGACTCAGAATAGTGCCTCAGAATCCTAAATGCTGGGATTACAGATGTTCAGTGCCATGTCCTGGTTTTTTTTTTTTTCACATGTATGTGTGTAGTATGTGTGCTTATATGTGTGTGCATGTAGAGGCCAATAGTCCTCTTTGATCTCTTTCTACCTTATTCACTGAGGCAGGGTCTCAGTTGAACCCAGAGCTCACCAATATGGCATAGTCTATGTAGCTAGCTAGCTCCAACAATCTTCTGTCTCTGCCTCTCAAGTGTTTGGATTATAGGTGGCCATCATGCCTATTTAGTGTTTACATGAGTTCTTGGGGTCCTAACTCCAGTCCTCAGGCTTGTACAGCAAGCACTTTATCCACTGAACATCTCCATAGTCCCCCAAGCCCTATTTCTTAGCAGACCTAGACTGATCCTTCTTTTCATAGAGTGACCCTCATAGTCACCTCCATAGGCACCTTTATTCTGCCAATTAGGTACATTGGAGTCAGTCTCCTTCCTGCTTTAGGACACAGCTTCTTGGGGTCTGCTAAGTCAGTAGCTACTTCTCCAATCTGCTGTCTACTTTCCACAATCCTATTGGCTGTCTCTTTGCTTGTGCTCTGATTCACTTTAGAGAATTCTGGGGAAAAAAACAAGAGCTTACACTTTCTTTTCAAGGTCCAGAAAACAAAACACAAGCTCTGTGTCTTGATTTCTGTTCTGTGTTTTTTCTCCTAATAGGCTGTATCTCCAGAGACTTTGCTCATGCAGCTTGTGGGGGTGGCAACTAGACACGGGATTTTCCAAACCTCCCTTTATCACCCACAGTGTTTTGCTCTGTAGTTGTGGGGAATCGCAGTGGAGCCAAGTCCAGACATTAGCAGATGGAAGAGAGCTGCGCTGACTTCTGTCTGAACACTGTAAGGTTCTCGGGTTCTTTGTTCCCTATAGTTTGTATCTACTTGAACAAGAGCGGCAGCACAGGCCCCCACTTGGATAAGAAGAAGATCCAACGACTTCCTGACCATTTTGGGCCAGCCCGTGCCTCTGTGGTGTTGCAGCAGGCCGTCCAGGCTTGCATTGACTGTGCTTATCACCAGAAAACTGTCTTCAGCTTCCTCAAACAAGGCCACGGCGGTGAGGTCATCTCAGGGAAAAAAAACTGTCTTCAGCTTCCTCAAACAAGGCCACGGCGGTGAGGTCATCTCAGGTAAACACTTTCAGGCTGTTTGTTCTAGCAAGCTTTCATTCTGATGAAGCATCCTAGTTCCAAATTCATACTTACCAACTCTGGAGAATGCAAAATTATACCATTTCTCAAGAGTCCTCACTTCCAGCTCCAGGCTCTTCTGAACCATGTGCCACATATGGTATATGCCATACATCTGCCAAGAATAGCCAAACAGACTGCCTAGTACAGCCTCTTCTTAGAGTCCTCTCTCCTGTCCCCACAGAATATATGAGTATGTGGCTTAAAGCCATTCCAGAGGAAGGATACATAGGAGCTATGTTGTTGCCACAAGAGAATTTCCCCAAATGGCTTCAGAGGACTTCTGCCCTCCTCTCATCCCTCTGCTTCCATAGCTTCTGTATTTATAGGACCCATAAAAAGGGAGCTGAATCCCAGGACAAAGGGGAAAATGAGAGTTTAACAGTGTGGTACTTTTTGCTGTAACTGAAAATACTTTGTTGCTGTGCACCATTTCTGTTTCAGTTTTCTTAAGTTCAGAATCATTTTTACCCACTAAGCCTAGAGGCTTGACCTGCAGCCTTCCAGTCTCTACTGTAATGCTGCCTTACAGCCTCCTCCCTTCCTCCTTATCAAGCTTGTAACTAGCTTCAGGAAACCAGCCAACAGGGAACATAAGTAGCCAAACTGTTCTTTTAGCAAATACCTATTGATCTTTTACTGTGTCAGAGTTTTCTGCCATACATTGGCCAGGAAAAGGGAAAACAGAAGATGACAGACTCTAGTCTCACTGGTCTGTGGAAGGGTGACAACAGAGAAATGTCAGGGAGCCAAGTCTAGGCAATAGCTGGCTACATGGAGAATGGAAACTGCCAATACATGAAGTCTGTCCTTTGGAGGCCCAGACCAGTCTCGGGCCTCTCCCTTGCAGCAGTCTGCAGGGTAGTGCCTGGAGTTGCCCTCACCTCTACCTGCCTAGAGTTCTTCCTCTTCAAAACTTTCTAAGAGGGATTTATCTCCCCAGATCTCACTTTCCTCAAAGACTACTATATGAACCTTTTTGCTTTTTAAAAATTATGCCAATATTTTGATAGAACTAGATAGGATATAACATAAAAATAAGCATGAAACATCTCCAAATGTTACCCAAATCTAGTGTCCACATAAAAGTTGGAATTGTTTACCTAAGTCCTTGCTACCAATGGCAGTATTCCCTTCTGTACTGCTTACCTGTTCCTGGGCAGTTTTCTTGTGAAAACAGCACCCTAGGCGAACACATTTCCTGAAGGAAGCCCAGCCAGGTGTTGAATGAAGCAGACAGCATTCTGTTCGGAGTCATTTTCACAGGTTGAGTGAAATCATTCCAGGGCCCTGAGGGTGCAATAGGCTTGGCCTGGCCACTTCCCTGATTGCACACCCTTTGGAGTTAGAAGCAAAAATCAAAGCCCTTGAGCAAGGGAGGGTAGCAGGAAGAAGACAAATGGGCAAGCAGCTTGGGCATTACCTTTATGTAACCAGCCAACCCCAAAACAAGCAGTGAGCTGGGCTTCTCTGGCTAGCACTGCACTGCACTACACAACTGACTTGCATTGTTTACTTAACTCCACAGCCATGTTTGACCGGGAACAGCACACCCTCAACCTCCCAGCAGTCAACAGCATCACCTATGTCCTCCGCTTCCTGGAGAAACTCTGCCACAACCTTCGGAGTGACAATCTGTTTGGCAACCAGCCCTTTACACAGACTCACTTACCCCTCACTGCCACAGAGTACAGTCACAGCCACGACAGGTACCTACCAGGTAGGAGCTGGGATGGGGCCTGGGCTGCAAGGGGGCTGGGCAGCCAGCAGCATCTGCAAGGGCCCAGGGGTAGCCCTCAGGCCTTGGAGACTAGCACCCACTGTCCAGAGATCTGGTTTTCTACTCTTTACTAACCTTGCCATATCTGGGTCACATCTAGGACTTTTGGTCTTCTATCACCTTAGCTCTTGAGGGTTTTGTTGTCACCCTACAATTTCTCTTTCCCCAGGACCCTGTCTCTGATTTCCATCTGGGCTCCACATGAAGTCCCAGGACATCTCCCAGTGTGAATCGGGTGTCAGAGGCCTCATATAGCTTTCCTTCACCAGAAACAAGGGTTAGTCTTAGGTAGAGATTAAGAAAGCTGCTCCCTGTTGATTGGCCACCCATTCTTTTCTTTGGCATATGGCCCTAACTCTTGTAGCATTGCCAGTCTAACAAGTCAGTTCAAGTTCCTGCTGTTTCCAACTAGGCTGGAAAATAACTTTCTTAGTTAACATACCAGACCCACAATGAAGAAGCGGATGCCACGTGGCTGGGTGGGTGACTAAGCACTTCCAAGAGAGGTTGAAGAGTGAGTGGAGCTCGGCACCTCTGATCTGGAGTACAGGACGCAGAATCGAGGGAGGGAGGAAAGCTTGGTCCCAAACATAGAGAGGTAGGTTGCTGTTAAGAGGGAGGGATTGCTCTGTAGATGGTGTCCTGAGCAGAGAGGAGGCACACCTGCTCTGCTTGCTGCGGGGTGCAGGAGTCTGAGGTCTTCTACATGAGTTTCACACTCCCTTGTTGTCTTTTCATCAAACTCTTAACGGAGGACGTGCTTGGGGAAGGGAGCCCACACCCAGTCTCCTCCTCTGTCCCCTCTGTACCTCTGCAACCATGTGAGAATTGCTGGTATGATTTGGGGTGAAAAGATACCTAAATTTCTCATATGCTGGCAAGCAAACCAGACATCTGGTCCCTAAGCTGTCCCCTGCTCCTCAGCTGGTTCTTTTCTTCAGCGGGAACTTCTTAAACTACCTGCTCTAGATTGCTTTCTTCAGCATCAGAACTTGTAAGAACAGCCCTGCAGTTATAATGTTGTACTGGACAGGATGGAGTTGGTACAGACAAAGACAAAGTGTTAAATATTCTCAGCCATTGTCATCTAGGAGCCCTGGGCTCTGTTCCCCTAATGAAAGGCCTAACTGGAAGTCTGAAAGAGAAGGTACATGTCCAATAGGGCAGCTAACTGCTCAAAGAAACAAACACTCAGAATTCTTAAATGGAGCACTGCCCTTCAGGAACTAGGGGAAGTACATTGGCAGTGGATTCAGAGGCTTCTGGGGACATGCCCACGATGGGCTTCCAGTCATGAAAGTGTTTGGAAATTGGCACATGCCACAGCCTTTCCTGGGACTTGTGTTCTGGTTTGTGTCCAGTACCCTATAAGAGAAGCAAGCTTCATCCAGACTCTTCTTCCTGCCTCACCAGCTAAAAGAAAAGACAAAGAACAGGGGTGTCACTTTCAGCTGTTGGCTGTGTCCTTTCTCTAGCCCACTTCCAGACAGACTGCACCACCTCTGATCCTCTTCCGCTCACCAAACTCAGTTTCTCAAGGAAACTTTCAGCACATTGTCTGCTTCATCCTGGCTGCCGTTGGCTTCTCAGAAGCAGTGTTTCAACTGTGCCCAGACAAGCCAGGGCCTTGTCTGGACTTCCTCTCTACTCTGCAGCTTGTCTTCCCTGCCTGCCTGCTGTCTTACTGACCCTTTGCTCTGCCTCTGACACCTCATCAGCACCTATATTATTCTGATTACTTATCGACCCCTGCAGAAAACTCCCATCAGTACCACAGCTTTCTTTTACTTTTTCTTTAAACCTGTCTTTTTTGTTGTTGTTGTTGCCATTCCTGCCCATCTGCACAGTCATACACTTCTACTGATGTGGCATCTGTGGGTCCCATCTATATTGACTGGGGTGCTTACTGGAGCCCTTCCCCCATTCCTGCCTTGCCATCAGATTCCCTCTCTCTATAGACTGCGCCCAACTGACCATGTACTTCATAGCTATCAAAAGTCCATATTCCTTAAAGTTTCTTTACCTAAAGTTTTAGACTATTGCTTTTTTCACTGCTTTATTTTGGAAACTTTCAAACATACAGAAAAATGGTAACAACAACAAATATAAAATAATTCCTTCACCAAGAGTCACTTTTAGCTTTATGCAATATTTGCTCTGTCTCTTTGTTTGCAGATATATTTGTATCTATATATTTAATATATATGTATATATAGCTTTTGTTTATTTAGCACAGACAAATATATATATATATATATATAGAGCACAGAACATAGGCACATACCTGTAATATCAGCCCTCAGGAATTTGAGGCAAGAAGTTCACAAGTTAATGGTAGCCTGGGCTACACAGAGAAGCCCTCTGTGAGAAAGAGAAAGAAGAGGGAGAGGAGGGGAAGGAGGGAGAATGGGCGAGAAGTGTGGAAAGGCAACAGGAAGGACAGTATTTTTGTGTTAAATTTAAATGCAAATAAAATACTCCTGTGCTCCTGTACCACCCACATCAGAATTTCCCAAGTTATCTCTGTTGTCCTTTTTAGCTGTTTTTTGTTTTGTTTTTCTCTAATTTAGAGTAAAAAAAAAAAGATCATTTTGTACATTTCATTGCCCTGACTCTTAAGCTCCCTTTCTCTAGAGCTGTTCTCTACTCTTTCTGTCTTCTCTGACTGCATGGGCATTTTGAAGGACCCAATGTAGGCATTTTGACTTTAGGTCATCAAAATTTTTTTAAATTCTCACTGTTTTCCAGAATCTATACTAGATTTTGGGAGACAGAGGTAAAACAGGCTGAACCCCTGCACTCTGAAAGCTAAGAGGAAAGAGGTATTTGGTTAAGAGCATGGAGCAGAGATGCTCCAACCCAGCTACTTGTGATTAGAAAGAAAAAGTCAAAGAAAATGGATGAAAGGATTGCTGGACTAAGCAGCGTAAGAGTAGAGCCCCTTCTACAGGACCACATGTGTTCTGAGTCAAGTGCCAGGCTTCTGGAAACTACAGTAAGGAGCTCCTTTGGACTTGCTAAATAATTGGTAATATGAGGCAGGAAATTTTTTCAGCTACTTGTTGTAGATATTAACAGTAGCTATAACTGAAATCTGCCTAGCATTAACTTCCAGATCTGCTGTTTTGAGATTTCCTGGCTGTTACCTGCTAGGAGAAATAGTGCCATTGTTTTAGGACTCAAAGACTTGAGTTATGTTGCTGGCATGATCATTCATCCATCTCCACTGCCCTTTGTCCTGGGCATCAGCTTGCTCATCTATTAAGATAGAGATGGAAATCTCTAACCATATAGGGCTAATGTAAGTTAACTTTTCCTTGGGTTGCTGAAGAATGAGGGTGTGCTACTGCTCTACTGAATGTCAGTGGGCAGAGGCAAGACCCTTGTCCGGGACTTACACCCTCAATAAGAGGTAGCTGCTCTGCAGATCTTACTGCAAAGCTGCCCTACAAGATTCGCAGTGGAGGGTAGCCAGCAAAGCAGTGAGGAGAAGAGAAAGGGTGGGGAAGGAGTATGGAGAAGTCACAGGTAACAAATACTCCCAGGGAACTCTGGGAAGACAGGAAAGACAGAGCTGTTATTTTGGAGTACAGAGAGTAAAGCATGAAGGAGGATTTGTAAGAAGACTGATTTCAGCTAAAAAAAGGGAGGGCATTTTATCCATCAAACCTCTCATTAAAATGATTGCCAAAAATCCCCCAAGAGAACAACCATTCATTGGGGTCTTTATCAAGCAGAGATCAGACAGTCACTGAGCATAGAGAATATTATCTATCCATCCAAGGTTCCAGGGTTCCAGGCTAACAGCCAGGGTCCCAGGGTTCCTTGCAGGGGTGATTGAGCGAACATGGAGCTAGAGCTGTGGGAGCATTCTCACTCCAGCATAGACACAAGTGCAGGCTTTGTACATGCTGACGGCATATCCATGCTAAAGGAAGTCCTCTTCTGGCTCATATTCCTACCCTCTGCTGCTCTCACCTAGAAAAGCTATCACATTTCATGTAGCACTTGGGCAGCTGACAGTGAGATTGGCTCAGTCCTTGTGAGATAGTCAATCTTTTAATTTTTTTGTTTTTTAAAAATTTTTGCACATAATATACTTTGATCATATTCTTTCCCAACTTCTCCCAGATCCTTCCCACATCCCTGCCCACCAAACTTCATACATTCACTCTCTCAAATAAAAAAGAAGAAACAAATAAGAAAATAAGAAACAAAGGTCAAAACAGACCCCCCCGCGCCCAAAAAAAACTAGTAAGGCAAAAAATAACAAGACAAAAAGCACACACACATATGGGAGTCCATTTTGTTGTTTTGTGTTGGACATGGGGCATAACACTCCACTGGAGAAAACTGATTTTCCCTTTCCCAAGAAGCATCAGTTGCAAATAATTCCTTGTCAGTAATGGAACTTCCCCTTATCCTTGCTGGAATTTGAGACATCTGAGCTTAATGAGAAGAACAACAAAGTACAAGTAGATTAAAAAGTTGTGAAGTTGAAATATTACAAACAAAAGGAACAGTATTTACATAGCCCTCTCTGTATGATAAGTCTTTACGCCAAAGCCTTCCACCAGCCGCCCAAGTTCCATCCACTGAGTTAGGGCACCAAATAATATACAGAGACTTATATTAGTTTACAATCCTGCTGGCCAATTGACTAGGATTTCTTATATGCTAGCTCAGTCTTAATTATCATAAATCTATATGTTTTATGATATTTATCTTATCGAGGACGTCTTCCGCTGGCGTCCTCTTCCCATGATCACATGGCGGTGACAGCACAGAGAAGACAACAGGAAGAAGAGCAAGAGAACCACTTCCTGTTTGTCCTTGCTTATATATGAGTCTGCCTGCTATGTCACTTCTTACCTGTATCACAAGACTTCTCTTTCCTACATTTCCCAGAATTCTCCTCGACTCCTAGTCCTACCTATCTT